AGCATTGGTTATATTTCTATTTTTTTATTCAATAACTAGTAAGCTCGGGGACGTTTTCCTGCTACACACCGATACATAGGCAGGTTACATGCATCCTAGATATTATGGGTCTACACACCGAAGCTTAGTAAATTTTTTGTTGCTGTTGATGTGCGCGTGTTTATATGTATAAATACATACTACATTATTTTGTTGCTATCCTATTTCTACCCAACATAAACATACATACATATGAAGCGTAGCCGCGAATAACATTGGAAAAAACTCCCGCTTCGGATATGGGCAGTTTTTAGTTAGCGCAAATGAACATATCGACATTTTGAAAAATATATATATGTTAAGGACTTACATAAACTCGATAACATCCTCGAATTTCGTTCTTCTAACTTTATCAGCTTAAAAAATTCGTCCTATTTGTCCTTGTAAATGCAAAAAATTTAATTTTTTTTTTAATTCTAAAGAAATTTCCTCTTGCATTTGGTAACCATATTTTTATTCTACATTGTATTGAATTTTTTAAGTAATTTTGGGAATTTATCATATCTTTGAAATCACAAAGTCCTTTAAAATCAATCCTGACGTCAGAGTGAAAAAATAACGCCACTTTAAATAAAACTCATTTTCAAACAATATAGAAGCAATTTTTTCGATTTGAGTTGTTGAAAAGTAATGAATATCCAAATCCCGGGTGATAACGGATCGGAAAAAGCTGAAAAATTAACATTAACACCAGGGAGCACTCACGGAGCAGTCGTACGATGCTGCCAACACCAGGTAAAGCTACCTGTAAAATATGGCGTATTTACCCAGTCTGTTCTGGTAGGGTATGCAGATATTTACAAAAAATAATTCAATAATGGTCAAGTGCAAGTGTATGCATCGTGAACTGGTTTAGGTTAGGCGTTAGACATAGGGCCAGTTTTTCAGTGTATGGCTGTGGTTTAAATTTAGTTTAAACGCTCAAGCTGGCTGGTTTAAGCTAAGATTAGCTAAACAAATGTCAGCTAGTTGTTTAAGATAAACGCAGTTTACGATATAAGTTTAAGCTTGCATTGAAAAACATACACATTACATATAGGCCTATATGCCAGAAACGTGCACCATTAAAATTTTGGGAAATCAAGTTTGAAAGTTTGAAGAAGAAATATGTAGTTTCCGTTTACGCATGGTATTCTGGCTTTTGGTAAAACATAGAACTTCCAAAGGTTAATCAAGTCAACCCAATAACACAAAATTGGTAAATTTTGCAAATTTTTTGTTTTGTTATTCCGCAACGTGTATTTTTTAGTTTTCTGCACTCTAAAAAAAAGTGTGTAAATTTCCTAGCTAAAGGTAGGTTACTGATTTCTTATTATTCGCGAAATTGCATGCTCGATTATTCAACGAATAGTTTGTTTAAATTTCGGACTTTTTAGAGTGTAATATAATAGCTGCTGTGGTGTGCGTAAATTTACTACGAAAGTGTGTACAAGCTACAAAATACACATCTGCTGTTTGATTTCACCCGTAGAATTGTGTAAAGCCGCTAACCAAAAGGATTTTAACACACGAAAATGTGTTAACGAGAAAAATACATATTCATCGTGTAAATTTACCAAAAAAATTTAAAAAGAAACAAACATATCGTCGTTTAAAGTGCAAAACCGCGTATCAGCAAAATGCAAAACCGCGTATGTGAAGTTTTAGCAATTGTTTTCTAGGGCGTGAAAACGCTCATATTTCAAAATAGTTCTCTTTTTTTTTATAAAGCAGTCGCATTTCTGGCTAGTATGTTTCAGGACAAATGGATAAGGATTAAGCCAAGAGCTTGTGTGAGCAAATCCAATTTTTGGCAGCCAATGTCAGTTACGCGGTTTGGCAGAATAACGATACGCGGTTTTGTACTTTAAACGACGATATACTCCATTTATAGTCGCATTTTTAAACAGATTTTTTAGAGTTTGATAAAGGAGTTTTTTCACTCAGTGTAGTGCAATGGGGTATACTTCTTCTGGGAATGTAGTTACAGTTCCATGCCTATACTCAATTTTAACTCTTCCGTCCTCGTTCGCGCCCTCGTGAGCAAGCTTCGGTGGGGTCACTCCAACTTATTCGGTTTAAGGACTCACTGAAGTCTGCAGCGTCTGTTCGCCATGAGGTGCGGCTGCAACCAGGTGTCGGTCTTGAAGCAAGCGACGATTCATGTTTGAGAAAGCATCCCTCGCAGTAAAATAGATTCCAATGAAAAGAATAGCTAATACTCCTTTCTCTTGATAACGACCACGGCAAACGTTTAAAGGACTACAATTTGTGGGCATGTACCTGGAATGTTCGGACCCATAATATATACATACATACGTTTTGTCGGAAATTTTTTTCCGGTTTCGACCGGAGATGGGTTAAACAGACCGGAAGTCCATTTTTTAAATGAGGTGTACATGTTTTTACCACAGATTCGGATTCTGCGCCTAAAAACACATAAATTCTTTTCGCAAACTTTTTTCTGGAATGGACTATCTGTAGTGATGTGCTGCATTTTCGGTACCCAATACTTAAAAAAGATTTTGGTACCCAATACTTCCTTTTCGGTACCCGATACAGTGATCTCACTTACAAAAATTCTGTGTGGTACAATCTGCTAAAAAATGTGGTAGATTAAAAAAAATGTGGTAGATTAAAAAAAAATGTGGTAGATCCCCGGTTTTAGATCAAACTTTGTACAAAAATTAAAAAAACTCTGCGAGGTTTCGCCTAAATTGGAAACTTTTTAATTAGACTCTAAACAAATTTTTATTTTAACTAGTATAATAAAGTGCAAGATTAAAGTTGCTAAAAATTGCGTTGAGTTTTGGCACTTGTTTTCCTTGAAGCAGTTTTCTCCATATCAAGATATTTTGCGAACATATTTTAAGAGGTGTCTGCCAGCTTTTCTTTTTATCACATCACGATGTAGCGAACAAATGTGGCACGTTCCAGAAACCGCTACTTGGGACTTACCGGTTTTGACAATTCTCAAGTAAAAGTAAACAACGCCTCAGAAATTTTCGATCTACTTAAATTTGCTAACACCCCTATTCTGCAACACTTTCGCATTCGGATTTTGCCACGAATCGTAAGAATGGTATGCTGCAATCTGAATCATATCTTCGAACTTTCGAAGGTTGTTTTGCGTAATTTTGTACGAAAGCAATTGTGTCGGAGGCGAATTAAAATATGTAAATCGATGTGTGTTTGCAGGAAATATTAGTGGTGTTTAGTTAAACAGATAAATTTGCCTTTCGCATAGACGTATATTTTTATCCACTGCTTTATATAAACGAGCAAAAAAGAACCTTTGTTGCCCCTTATCGAGCAACGTGGGTCCGGTTTAATTATTTGTACGGTTTTTGTGTCCAAACGCATAACCCGAATCCTAAAACTTTAACATACACGTGTTATCAAAGGATTAAACTTTATTTAAAATATATGTATGTTTCAAATTATTAATAAATTCGGTTTGCACTACGCACTTTTTTGCAAATTTCAATGTGGGTTCTGCGCAAAAATACTGTGATATGCACAAGAATTATTGTATACCTTTGACATGCGGAGCCCCTCTTCTTCGGCAACACAGAAAGGAGAATTCTACTTAGTAAGAGTTATAGTCCCAAAGCGCGGCCGAAGGCAGAAGCAAGCGCAACAGGTGGTGGACCTAACAAAATGCATGTTTTCAATGGCTTGGAAGAAGCTGTTATTGTATTAACTGGATTGGGAACCAGTTCTGAAGGCAGAGGAGGAGTTTTGGCTTGCGGTTCAACAATTCAACCAGCAGCTGACATAGATGCGCCCCTGGTTACTAAGCCCGGCAGCTCCGCATACCTTTGTGAGTCCATTGCCATAGCGCGCTCTTACTCCGCTGCAATAATTGCCAAGCATCAGAATCCATAATTTTCCTCAAAATATTTAAAATCAATCAATTTTACTATAAACAAGCACATGATTTTTCGTTTTTCGTAACGTAGGTACGAATTACGAATTACGAAAATTCGGGTTCTAGAATAAGGGTGTAATAATTTCACAAAAATCGCCGTTTTTTTAACATTTTCGCTATAAAATCTTTTTATAAATCATATACATATTTTCCAATTTAACACAATAAAACCACGTTTCATGTCGAAAAATTGATTATTGAGAAAATTTACTGTTTATTTTATCCTCCTATTCGGCTTTGTTTACTTTTACTTGAGAAATTTCATCGCCGCCGGGAATGCGGAATCTTGTATTATATCATTATTGTTACCATATAGTATTTATGTAGTGTTGGACAATTTTTGCTCATAAAATTAAGAAAATTAAGTCGAGCAAAAATAAAACTACTCAAAAACGCGAATAGGTGGTAGATTTTTGACCCTGAGTGGTAGATGCTCAAAAAAGTGGCAGATCTACCACAATGTGGTAGAAGTCCGATCACTGATGTGTGCGCTTTTATTCGTAACCCAAATGTTTCGGTACCGAGTATCGAGACTATTGGATACTTTTTAAATCGGTACCGAATATCGGTCAATACTTAAAAGTATTGACTCAGCACATCACTAACTATCTGTATAAACAATGGTCAGTGTAACCAACTTCCGGTCGAAGGCGGAAGACGGTAATATGACCAAAAGAGATTTGGTAATTCATATTTTCTCGTTTTGCAATAAATACAACTTCACTCATTTCAGAAATTTAGGCCCAGTTGAAGTTCGAAGTTCCTATAGAGGTTGAAAAAGGCACTTCCGAGAAAAAAGGTTTCAAACAAAAGATACGTATTTCTATCCTCAGAATACGAATTTGTAGAAACAACATGTATCTATGCCTAATTTAAAAATGGACTTTTGGTCGGTTTAACGCCAACTCGGTGGAAACCGACAGCCAGTAATACCACCAATTTGGTAGGTAAAATTTTAGTGTTTTACAATAAAAAAAAAAACATTTCCCACCATTTTAGAAGCGGTGACCGGGTGGTCATAGACACCCCGTATATTGTTTTCTATTTTAAAAATAGATTAAATCCTTAATCATAGTAGTATTAATTTCTTTGAAGGTTGCGCAAGTCCGACATTTTAATTTGCATATCGCGATTTGAACATACAAGTAACTGGTAGTAGGATTTTATCAACTTTTATCTCCGGCTTTGTTCATTGCCTTTTTAGCAATGTCCAACTATTGGCAAACCGAATGTATAGCGTTCGGGGGATGAAAAAATGACAGATAGCGCTCTATTCTGATTCAGCAAAGCCGAGAGTAGAGATGTCCTTTTACAAATCGAATAACAGCATCTGCAGTAGCAGTAGTGAGAGACGATACGGTATGCTGTGCTCGCAGGATGCAAGAGGCATCCGTTTCAGTAATTTTAAGTGGCCAAAGCGCGTGCATTGCTTACAAGACCGCAGCGATGTGACACGGTTATAGGATAACTTAATTTGTACATTACAATGAACAAAAAAAAATAGTGCATACAAAAAAATTTCTGATAAAATCATAAGAAGAAAATTAAAATTATTTTTTACAATTAGTGAGAAGCCCAAGCGTGCAATATAACTTGTATTAAATACTTGTTGGTGAACTCCTTTAAACTGGTGTACATATAAAAGTCAAGTCGTGATAGCCATGAAAAATCGAAGAGAATTTACAAAGTCTGGGAAAACGCGAAAAATTCACAGAAGCAATCGGGGCATGTGCGACACTGTTAATTTTGCTAATAAATTAAATGAAAATGATAATTTCGGAACAATTTTTAATTGAAAATCTTATTACGGTCATTATTCAGGCACAAAATAAT